CGTAATGGCATGGTGCTTTACCCCCTGGTAATTCCTTCCCTCAAAAATGACATTTCTGGACGGACCCAAACAACGTCGTTTCTCCATCTTCTGACGGATGGTTCGGGATCTAGGTAATTTGAGATGATTTCGGGGCTTTAGTGTCCCCGCGGCCCGGTCCTCGACCAGGCTTCCATCATATGAGAGTCATCATATGATGATGGTTCGGTCATCATATGATGATGGTTCGGTCATCATATGATGATGGTTCGGTCATCATATGATGATGGTTCGGTCATCATATGATGATGGTTCGGTTATCAACGGCCCCGTTGGTGAGGGGGCGGAGGATGTTGGCACTCGTCTCCTGCAAACAAATGTAATTGTTTTGCCTAACAAGAACCACAGGAACATGAGCGCAGACAACGTCACGATTACGAGGCTTCGACTAAAACCCCGCAATTTTGACGGTTTAGTCCTGCTGTTAAAACTGCCACGAGAGGAAAGAGATTGGGAGGGGGGGGGGGAGAGAGGGTGGAGGAGGGGGGGTGAGAGAAGGAGGGGGGGGGAGAGAAGGAGGGGGGGGGGGAGAGAAGGAGGGGGGGAGAGAAGGAGGGGGGGGGGGGGAGAGAAGGAGGGGGGGGAGAGAAGGAGGGGGGGAGAGAAGGAGGGGGGGGAGAGAAGGAGGGGGGGGAGAGAAGGAGGGGGGGAGAGGGGAGAGAAGGAGGGGGGGGAGAGAGAGGAGGGGGGGGGAGAGAAGGAGGGGGGGAGAGAAGGAGGGGGGGAGAGAAGGATGGGGGGGGAGGAGAGAAGGAGGGGGGGGAGAGAAGGAGGGGGGGGAGAGAAGGAGGGGGGGAGAGAAGGAGGGGGGAGAGAGAAGGAGGGGGGGAGAGAAGGGGGGGGGAGAGAAGGAGGGGGGGGAGAGAAGGAGGGGGGAGGGCAGGAGGGATGGGGGGATAGAAGCTCAGAGCAAAGGGTGTGGGTGGAGGGGGTGGGGAAATTAAGAGGGAGCTGGTGGGAAGGGGGTAGGAGGGAGGGAAGACACACCTGCTGCAGCTGTGTACCACACCTGTGTCTCCCCCCCCCCCTACCACCACCTCTACCCACAGCAAACTCGGACCCCCCTCCCCCCACCCCCCACACACACGCCATGGGAACCCACAAACTGTTCTTACGCTGGAGACTGGTACGAGGGACCTGACCAAGCTCTACAAAAATATCTCACCTTCCCCCTGACACCCCCCCCCTTCACTAATTGTTCCCCCCTCTTAAACATCGTCTTTATTCATCTCTCGGCTGCCCCCCCCCCTTTTCAATCTCATCTTCATCTAATTCTCCCCCTAATATCTCCCTCTCTCCTTATTTTGTAATTCTCTCCCTCTCTCCACTGCTGCTTTGCCTCTACCCGCATATCGTGCACGCGCGCGCGCACACACGCGACCATCAACATTATGTGGGTGCCACGTCCCACCAGAGAGACAGGGAGAGAGACAGAGAAAGAGATAGACAGAGACAGACAGTCAGACAGAGACAGAGAGAGACAGAGAGACAGAGACAGTCAGACACAGAGTGACACACACAGAGAGCCATGCCCTTGGCGCATAACCCCAGTATGACGCATGCCAATCATGAACCTGCGCATACACTTGCTAGTGAAGCAGCAGTGGACCGCTTCACTCAAACTTAACCCACTCAACCTGCAAACACACACATGTTCAGCCCAATCACCATCCACTATGATCAGGCGATTGGTCTAGTTTCGCACGCGCGTGTGTACATGATAATCCACACACTTCCAATCACACGCTTGTGGGCATGATAATCCACACATTTCCAATCACACGCTTCTGGGCATGATAATCCACACACTTCCAATCACACGCTTGTGGGCATGATAATCCACAGTTCCAATCACAGGCTTGACACAACGTGAAGATGGGCTTTGTTCCCTTGGTGCTGCTTCCGCGGATCAACGTCCCCGCGGCCCGGTCTCTTGACCAGGCCTCCTGGGACACGAGGAGCAAGCCAACTGTTGAGGGTTGCATGTTAGTCAAAAGTCGGGGGGGGGGGGCTCGTATTCAATTCTCCCTTCCTGACCTGGGTGGCTTCCTGTCCCCGGCTATGGCCAGCTGAATTATAATGTTACCGAACCAGTATTTACCCAGGTCTTTCCTAAAGATACTCCAGCCAGAGCTCAACCCCGCAAGCACAACTAGGTGACCACACAGACCGTCTCCGATCCTTAGACTAGGGTCCTCCTCTGTATACATGGTTGTAAATACAGCAACACAACATAGAACACAAAACAATGGGTATAAATAGATAAGATTCAGGAAACACCCGTGTAAATAATTTCAAAATAAGGTGGTCAGTTTATTGAATAAATTACCAGGCAACATAACAAGACGTGGAGTGTTTCAAGCGCAGGTCAGACATATAAATATCAATCCATTAGGCTCGATATAAATAGTTATGTATATGGGGGCCCAATAGACCTTTTGAAGTTACAAAGGTTCTTGCAAAGTTGACCAGACCACACACTAGAAGGTGAAGGGACGACGACGTTTCGGTCCGTCCTGGACCATTCTCAAGTCGACTTGAGAATGGTCCAGGACGGACCGAAACGTGGTCGTCCCTTCACCTTCTAGTGTATAGTCTGGTCAACATACATCAGCCCCGTTATTATGACTCATCGCCCGCGTTCTGGCAAAGGCTCTGCTTCACAACCCACACCAATTAACCTCGAGTAACTCAACTAGCCGCAGGTAAATTAAAGGTTGGCACAAGTGTGCATCACCACTTGCAGCTCTTCAGTCCCGCCAATAACCAACAACTCCACTCAACTCGTTGGGAAAAAAGTTCCCCAGGTACAAACACGTTGAAAAAAAGTTCCCCTGGTACAAACACGTTGAAAAAAAGCTCCCCTGGTACAAACACGTTGAAAAAAAGCTCCCCTGGTACAAACACGTTGAAAAAAAGCTCCCCTGGTACAAACACGTAGAAAAAAAGCTCCCCTGGCACAAACACGTAGAAAAAAAAGCTCCCCTGGTACAAACACGTAGAAAAAAAGTTCCCCTGGTACAAACACGTTGAAAAAAAGTTCCCCTGGTACAAACACGTTGAAAAAAAGTTCCCCTGGTACAAACACGCTGAAAAAAAGTTCCCCTGGTACAAACACGTAGAAAAAAAGTTCCCCTGGCACAAACACGTAGAAAAAAAAGCTCCCCTGGTACAAACACGTAGAAAAAAAGTTCCCCTGGTACAAACACGTAGAAAAAAAGTTCCCCTGGTACAAACACGTAGAAAAAAAAGTTCCCCTGGTACAAACACGTAGAAAAAAAAGTTCCCCTGGTACAAACACGTAGAAAAAAAAGCTCCCCTGGTACAAACACGTAGAAAAAAAAGCTCCCCTGGCACAAACACGTAGAAAAAAAAGCTCCCCTGGTACAAACACGTAGAAAAAAAAGCTCCCCTGGTACAAACACGTAGAAAAAAAAGCTCCCCTGGCACAAACACGTAGAAAAAAAAGCTCCCCTGGTACAAACACGTAGAAAAAAAAGCTCCCCTGGTACAAACACGTAGAAAAAAAAGCTCCCCTGGCACAAACACGTAGAAAAAAAAGCTCCCCTGGCACAAACACGTAGAAAAAAAAGCTCCCCTGGCACAAACACGTAGAAAAAAAAGCTCCCCTGGCACAAACACGTAGAAAAAAAAGCTCCCCTGGCACAAACACGTAGAAAAAAAGTTCCCTGGTACAAACACGTCGAAAAAAAGTTCCCCTGGCACAAACACGTAGAAAAAAAAGCTCCCCTGGTACAAACACGTTGAGAACTGGAACTCACTGGCTACATACACTCACTAGGGTGTACTCTCCACTACCCCCATCCTCACCATCACCACCACCATCTTCACCATCACCCTCCCCATCTCCCACAATCAAACCCCCCACCCCACGAACCAATCAGATATGGTGATCTGATTGGTGTTATTTCGTGATATTTTCGTGATATGTAAACACGTCATATTTCGATATCTAACTTGCTATGTTATTAAGTGTAGATAAGACATTTTAGGTGATATCTACCCTCCCGCAGCAGGGTAATATCCCATTGTATATATATATATATATATATATGTATATTCAGATAAGATGATGTACATATTCCTGGGGTAATATTGTGTGGCTAGGAACCCAACAGTCAATGGTTCGAGTCCGCAGAGACGACCCAGTTGGTGGATAATATATTCACTAGAGTATAACCATATCCCCCTGTCACCGTATATGCTTGTTCATACCAGAATATAACGTAAAGAATATATGTATATCATATACCCTCCCCCTTTTGAGGATAAATCCGAGGATATTTTAAGGATAATCTGGCTCCATCAGACGCCCGTATGACAAACATATATATACTCTGGGGTCCTTAGCTTGCATATCATGCCCGTCAAAGGAGATCACCGCGAGGAAGCGGCTACAGCAGCACAACCGGAGACGAGAGGTCATGCTAACATGCTAATGTCTCCAAACAGCATCTTGGGAAATCTTGCCTCGCAACCTTAATAGAATTCTATGCCTGGCCTACAGAATTAAGATAGGACAGAGAAGGGAAGGGGAGGGGAGGGGAAGGGGGGTTGAACTAACTACATTTTATATTAATTATCAACAAGCCTTTGACAGATTACCCGCCATGAGAGAGTGATTACAAGCAGGGAGGAGTGACAGGAAGATGCACAATTGGGTAATGGAGTATCTGAACACCAGAAGACCTTCCGTAATATATATGTATGCATGTATGTATGTATGTGTGTGTGTGTGTGTGTGTGTGTGTGTGTGTGGTGTGTGTGTGTGTGGGTGTGTGTGTGTGGTGTGTGGTGTGTGTGTGTGTGTGAGAGAGCGAATCACGAAAATTAACTCGTGATGAAAACTGCGAGTGTGTCAGACCGTGTCCTTCAGAAGAGTGTAAGACTTAAGAGAGTGAGTAAAGGCACAAGTTAAGACGGTGGGGTTCCCAGCTTACCTTCGCCAGAGGAGTGTGGCCAGCAGGAGGGACGTGCGCCTGGCCAGCTTGGTCTGCACCTGTGGACGAGGCGAGCAGGGAGGGTTATAGTGCTGCAGCTGTCTTGCTTTACACCTGCTCCTCTTAAAATTAGTTCACCCTGTAAATACACAACGTGGCGCTCATAGCCTCAACATTACTGCTCTCCATACACCAACTTCGTTGATGTCTTCAACTAGTTATAATCGTCCAGTATTTATCCTAATCAGCACCGTTTTTTTCCTCGAGGCCTGGAGGATCAGAAACCCCTTCCCCTTGTGACGGCTCAATCCCCCCCTAACACCTCTAGGATGACGACACACTATAGTGTGACGCCATCCTCCCACACTAAAGGGGCTTGTATTCCCCCGGTGAAGCCTTATCCTACCGCACTCCAACCTTCTCCCCCCTCCCACAAACCAATCCGAGGAACATGATTGGTATCTCTAGCAACTACGTGTGGAAGCTACCAAATAACTACTTCTGTACCACCATCCGCTACAGATCCATGTTTTCAACTATTCGTATACATAAAAAAAGGGCGTAACGAGAATCTGCAACAGCCTAATGTCCTAGACATAAATAAGCCATGGTAGGCCTAATTTAGTAAGATTATATACTATACTAGATATTACAGACCATATTGTACACATTCCATCCTGCCTCGCTACTAGGATGGTCTTGGAGGGGGAGGGGGTTGGGGGGGGGGGAAACAGGATTTCCTGGTGGTTGCATGGTTAGCGAGGCAATTCGTGTTGGAAGTTTGCAGCCCACTTCCACACCGTGGGCCAGCCCACTCCCCCACCGTGGGCCAGCCCACTCCCACACCGTGGGCCAGCCCACTCCCACACCGTGGGCCAGCCCACTTCCACACCGTGGGCCAGCCCACTTCCACACCGTGGGCCACCCCACTCCAACACCGTGGGCCAGCCCACTTCCACACCGTGGGCCACCCCACTCCCACTCCTGCACAACAAACTCGTGTCTTGTCTACCACTTGAAAACTTTAACCTTCATTCCAGCTATATTTTTGTACATTTTGTATACTAAAAGTTTCTATACTTGCTCATGGAACCCTATCCTGGACCTTCAGCCATTACCTCTCACTAATGGTCTGTTCGTCTCTAATTTTACTGTGCAGGTTCGGAACTGGACCTTCCAGCATTTTCCATGTGTATGAGACCTCTAATCTCGATTCTAAGGAGAACAGTGCGAGTACTTTGGGGGCGAAGAGAGTTTTTGCAGGCGATGAGTCACAATAACGTGGCTGAAGTATGTTGACCAGATCACACACTAGAAGGTGAAGGGACGACGACGTTTCAGTCCGTCCTGGACCATTCTCAAGTAGATTGAGAATGATTGAGAATCAATCGACTTGAGAATGGTCCAGGACGGACCGAAACGTCGTCGTCCCGTCACCTTCTAGTGTGTGGTCTGGTCAACATACTTCAGCCACGTTACTGTGACTCCTCGCCTGCATATAGTCTTAACGGCACTACGGGCTCACCATAGCCCGTGCTACTTGGAAATTTGTTCCAGGTAGCGAATCTTTAACAACAACAACCACCTCGTCTGCACCACCTGTACTGACCTGGATGACGGAGAGCCAGCAGCTGGTGCCGGTGTTGGTCCTGGAGGGTGGCGACCTCGTCCTGGTGGGCATCCTTCAGCGCCTTCAGCAACTCCTCCAGTTCCTCCACGCGCCGGCCCAACTGTCAATAACAAGACACATCTCTTTACTATCTCCCGAGGAGAGAAATATTGCCGGAACAACCGTGGACATCTCCAAGAGGAAACTAGATTTATTCTTCCAAGGAGTGGCGGACCAACCGGGCTGTGGTGGGTATGTGGGCCTGTGGTGGGTATGTGGGCCTGTGGTGGGTATGTGGGCCTGTGGTCCCACTCCACATCCAGTAGACCCAGACAGGCTACAGAATGCGTCTGGAAATGGCTGCTAGAATTCAATACTATTCTATTGAATTCCTTATACTATTTAATAAGGTCAGAAATAAGACCTTGAAAAGGCACCCAAGTGTACCTTGAATCAGGCTTGTTGTCCAATAATTATGTGGGGATGAGGTAACTTAAGAAACAGCTGAACGTAACGAGGCTAGAAAAAGAGCAGCAGACATGATACATATAAAAATATTTTAGAAGAAAAATTCTCCATAGTTTCAGAAGTAGATATGACATAAGAAATTTAGGTCGAGAGTCGTTGCATTTAGACGACCGACGATTGGAAAGGCGAGACCCAAGAGCTGAAAACTGACGGCAGAAATAAGCGAGGACACGAACTGACAGACAGTGGAGTCCACATGATTAAATTCTAGACAGGTTATTTCCCCCTCCTCCACCACACCCCCCCCCCTACTCTCACACACACCTGTACACACACACACACACACATGTACACACCTGCAACACCCCCGCCCCTCACCTAACTTGCACTCGTTCACGTTCAAATCTCCTGCTATACTCTCTCTCCCTCTATTATATCTATATCTATATCTCTATCTCTCTCTATATATATATCTATCTCTCTTTCTTCCTACGGGTCTGCCTGCCTCCTCTCCTTACTGCCTTCTTCATTTTCTATTTCCCCTTCCATACCTCTTCCTCTCTTTTTCCCTCTCACTATTCCACAGAAGAGAGGAGGGGGGCAAGGGGGGGGGGAGGAACTTCCGAAGCGTGAGGTAGCGCCATGCGGGTACTTTACCTCTACCCTCACGCGCGAAAGTACCCGCTTCTCCACCACCCCACCCGCACCAAGCTCCCCTGGCTCAATAGTCCGCCCACACCGAGCACCCCACCCACCCATTCTCCCCCCCATTCACACCTCTTGCCCCCCACCACAGAAAACACACCCCCAACACACTTATACCAAGAACCTCTCCACCTCAACCAACCCCCCTCCACCTCCACCAAGCCCCCCCCCTCTCCCTCTCCACCCCAACAAGCACCCCCCTCCACCTATGCACAGCTCTCCCCCCTCTCATGACAGCCACTACGCCACGTAGACATTTATAAAACACCTGCCTGATGAAACACCACCTGTTTGGCGTGGGGGGTGTACTGTAGTGGGAGTGTGTGGGTGGGTGGGGGTGTAGTGGGGGTGTGGGAGGGTGTAGTGGGTGTGGGAGGGTGTAGTGGGTGTGGGAGGGTGTAGTGGGAGTGTGGGAGGGTGGTAGTGGGAGTTGTGGGAGAGGTTGTAGTGGGAGTGTGGGGGGTGTAGGTTGTAGTGGGAGTGTGGGAGGGTGTAGTGGGAGTGTGGGAGGGTGTAGTGGGAGTGTGGGAGGGTGTAGTGGGAGTGTGGGAGGGTGTAGTGGGAGTGTGGGAGGGTGTGTAGTGGGAGTGTGGGAGGGGTGTAGTGGGAGTGTGGGGGGGTTGTGTAGTGGGAGTGTGGGGGGGTTGTAGTGGGAGTGTGGGGGGTTGTAGTGTGGGAGTGTGGGGGGTGTAGTGGGAGTGTGGGGGGGGGTGTAGTGGGAGTGTGGGGGTGTAGTGGGAGTGGTGGGGGTGTTGTTAGTGGGAGTGTGGGGGTGTAGTGGGAGTGTGGGGGGTAGTGGGAGTGGGAGTGTGTGGAGGGGGAGTGTAGTGGGAGTGTGTGGGGGTGTAGTGGGAGTGTGTAGGGGTGTGTGATGCAGGGTGGGTGCAGGTGTATTCACCTAGATGTGCTTGCGGGGGTTGAGCTCTGCTCTTTCGGCCCGCCTCTCAACTGTCAGTCCATCAACTGTTACTAACTTTTTTTTCCTCCACACACACACACACACACACACACACACACACACACACACACACACACACACACACACACACACACACACACACACACACCCAGGAAGCAGACCGTAGCAGCTGTCTAACTCCCAGGTACCTATTTACTGCTAGGTAAACAGGCGCATCAGGATGAAGGAAACTGCCCATTTAAATGCACCAATGTGAGGGGTTGCAAAGTGCAATTGTCCAGTGATGTGGTGGAGGCAGACTCCCCCCCCCATTCCTGAAAATAGATACACCTCTTTACTTTGCAATATCGTTAATGTTTATACAATATAAACCTTTGAGACATTACACACGTGTAGTGTAGGTGTTTCTAGGACAATGGCATCTACTAGACGAGCAGGTTTCACCTAGGTAGTCAAATACCTAGGTTACAAGGTGTTGAACGAGAGAGGTTGCCTTAGGAACTCTGGAGGGTTTCTCTAGAATAGTTAGCTAACTGGGGGGTGGAATAATGGACAAGATAGAGCTATTTCCCCCACCCCCCGTTACAACCACTTCCATTCATAACTTCAAAACTAAATATGATAGCCAAATATAGGTCGGCAGGTACTGCATTAGACAACCGACGGCTGGGAAAACTGGGGTCCAAGAGCTGAAGCCCTCTTGCAGGCAGACAGACAGACTTAATACGAATAGGCGAGTACATACACCCACTAAACTACTTTCCACTTGCCCTATACAAGACAAAACACAATAGAATACAATACAATATTACTACACAATAGCTAAGGGACAATATACCACGGAGATAGGCAAGGTCACTCATTATAACACGGGGGGTAATGGAGACCTCGTGGTCAATATTACCCGGAGAGTCTCCTGGTCACTACTGCTGAGGCTGTAGCTAGCAGACAAGGTACACAGGCAGGGGCAGACACAGGCAGGGGCAGACACAGGCAGGGGCAGACACAGGCAGGGGCAGACACAGGCAGGGGGGGCAGACCAGGCAGGGGGGGCAGACACAGGCAGGGGGGGGCAGACACAGGCAGGGGGGGGGCAGACACAGGCAGGGGGGGGGCAGACACAGGCAGGGGGGGGGCAGACACAGGCAGGGGGGGGGGCAGACACAGGCAGGGGCAGACACAGGCAGGGGCAGACAGGCAGGGGGGGGGCAGACACAGGCAGGGGGGGGGGCAGACACAGGCAGGGGGGGGGCAGACACAGGCAGGGGGGGCAGACACAGGCAGGGGGCAGAAGCAGTTAGGAAAAGCAGGCAGCAGTATTCTCCTCCACCCACCATGTTAGGAGTGCTGCAGTCAGCATAAAGCAACATGGCTGCTGCTGCTACCAGTAGTGGTAGTGCTGGTAGTGGTAGTAGTGGCTCTTATCGTGGCTACCACACCAATCTCAACATTTTATCTAACAACTCTCCTCAACACACACACTTTTTTCTGCACCCACCACCCGTGTGTCGGCGAGGCTATGACTGTGTTGGTGCTGCTGCTGCTACTAGCCTACCACCACCACCTCACCAACCACTGCTACTAGCATCACCCACCACCACACAACGACAACAACTAACATTAGCTACAGACACCCCCTCTCAGCAAGACGGGAGACATTCACAAGCGTGCCCTCCAAGCACCCCCATCACCCCCTTCACAAGGAATGGTGCATCACGTCCTCCTCTTCCTCCTGTCCCTTTCTCACTCTCTCCCTTACCTATTCCTTCTCTCCCGCCTTCTCTACCTTCCCTCCCTTCCCTTCATCTACCCCCAACTACTCAGTATTACCGTCAGTAGTAGTAGTAGCGAGAGTAATAATTTAAATTCAAATGACAGGTAGAAAAACAGGTGCGTACCCATTGTACAATACACACACACACACAATCACACACACAAACACACACACACACACACACACACACACACGGAATACATTAGGCAGTGATGTGGTGGAGGCTGACTCCATACACAGTTTCAAATGTAGATATGATAAGAGCCCAGGAGGCTCAGGAACCTGTACACCAGTTGATTGACGGTTGAGAGAGGCGGGACCAAAGAGCCAGAGCTCAACCCCCGCAAACACAACTAGGTGAGTACACACACACACGCTAAAACTAGGTGGTAGGGGTCACAGGACGAAGGGGGTGGGAGAGAGAGAGAGAGAGAGAGAGAATAACAAATGAGTTAAAGACAATGTAGACAGAAAACGGGAACAGATGAGAACAAGGAAAAAAAAAACACGATAACCGGACGACCAAAAATTAAAGACAAAGGACAATCTACAAACTAGAAAAATACATATATATATAACTGAGGGAGGGGGGGGGGAGCAGGAGATAGGGAAGGGGGGGGGGGAAGAAGGGGAAAGACGGGGAGAGGAAGAGGGAGTTTGTGACTGGAAGGGGGGGGGGGGGGCAGTAGAGGAGGAGGGGGGGGGAGATGGTCGTGAAATCAGGGAGAGCGAATAGTGGGGAAAGGGGGGGGAAAGTAGGGGTAAGATGGAATAGAAAGAGGGGAGAGGGGGAAGGAGGAGGGGGGGGGGAGAGGGGGAAGGAGGAGGGGGGGAGAGGGGGAAGGAGGAGGATGGGGGAGGGGGAAGGAGGAGGGGGGGGGGGGAGAGGAGAAGGGGGAGGGGGAGATTACGAAGGAATAAAAGGGGCTGTGAATAGGGAGTGGGGAAGAGGGGGCAGGGGGGGGGGGCGGACAACAATGGGGGCGGGCCTAGTTGGCGGGAAAGGCGTGTTCCGCCTTTTGATCTGATAAATCAACAAACAGGTGTGGTGGTGGTGGTGTAGTGAGACGGGAGCTGGACCACCACCACCTTGTCTATTTCCCCGAGCATCATCTATATCGTGATCATGTCTCCTCGCGATTTCTTCTCTAGACTCGTGAAACCGAGTTCCCAATATCCGTTCTTCGAGATTTGTACGCTTAATTTAGGCACAAGTCCTTGTTGCAAACCTATGCATGTTTTCAAGTTCCGTTTA